TTTCATGTAAGTAAAACAACAGTGCAGTACAGAAGAAGAGGTTGTACAGTAGTAAACGACATGATAGACATAGCGGATAGAGAAGATGTAACATTTCACTGGGTTAGAGTGACATTTAGATATTGCGGATCTTAAATAGGCGCAACTACTAATCTATGGGATGGTAATGCTAACTCCGACTCTGATTGTTTATTTATAAATCACATTATTGTTTTTCCTGTGCTAGGTTCTGAGCGATGAATTTAAACGGAAGCAGTATGACGCATATGGCACTGCTGATTTTGCCGCAGGTGCCAGCGGAGGTGGGCAGCAATACTGGAGGGGCGGCCCCACCGTAGATCCAGAAGAACTTTTCCGCAAGATCTTCGGGGAGTTTTCCGGCGGCTCTTCGTTTGGTGGCTTCAACAATATTTTCGAGCAGCCCCATGAGGTGAGTTGCGTTTGTTAGGCTGTCAGCGAGTCACGCCAATGTGTTGAAACGTTTTCATACCTGCTGATGTAAAGAGCAGGGGAGTTGATCAATCGGGAAATATAGAATTCCACAGAAAACTAAATGTTTTGTTTTTACATACTTGCTGGCAAATTGAACATCACCCTCCGGTTATATATATCTCCGAGAATCCAAAGGAGAGAGATTACCAACACAACTGCTGTGGCTGTAGTATTGTACTACCATAGAGGGATCTCCATAATGCACAATAAATAACAGGGGAGTCTTGTTGTCACAGAGTTGGGGTCGGTGTAGAGATCTGTTTAAAGGATATCAAAAGCTAGCACTTTGAAATAAAGTAGAAAATGTTTAAAGTCTATGTAAAGCCCAAACTTTTTTTTTTTTAGCTTTGGATGGAGTGGGAAAGGGTTTCAGATTCTGCTTCACTGCTGTCTGTGTCATCACTGTGGAGATTCACTTTTTTTGTCCTTACTGGGACTAAAAGTGATGGAAAATAGAGGGGAAATCGTGCGCCGGTGACACTTGCTCCGGTAACAACTGTCTCAATGGATTTCCCTCCGTTTAGAGAGATTTCCTGTTTTGTCTACAGGACAGAATGTGAGGGGAAATTTCTCCAATGCAATACAGATGATAGAAGAACCTAAAGGGGATTTTACCTTTCCTTATTCCATCCACATTGGGGGAAAGTTTTTTGGCTTTACATATGCTTTTAAAACCGTTGTTACATTCTATTTTGCCTGTTGTGTCCCCATTAAGATATTTCTCATCACTTCATGAGTTAGAGACTCAACAGGAACTGAGTGGAAAACTCTGTATTAAAGGGCAATCCTCTCTTGGACAGTTGTCATTGGAACAGGTGGTCCAATTGGAAGATTAGATTTCCCATCACTTTCTGACCAGATGTCTTTTAGATGGCTGTAGTTATCAGAGACGGCAATAAAACCTGACGGAGGTTCTAAACTTTTTCTGCTGTACTTAAACATAGAAATAACTTTTTGGCTTTAGATACATGTAAGTGGCTGTCTGAGCCTTGCCTACATTGCACAGCTGGAACAGCCCCCTGCTTATTGAACCCTTCGAGCAGCAGACTCACTATTTGCACTTGTGCAATGCAAAGCATGTCAGTAAAGGTGGCCATACACTCTACAACCATCGCAAGACTTTAGTCTTGCGATGGTTGTAAAGGGATTAAAAAAACGTACGATCTGCCTATCTTGGACAGGCAGATCGCACTCTCGATCATCGCAAGCCCGCCCCCCTGAGGGGCAGGCTTCCGATGACCGCAATGCTGAACGGGCAGTGTGCGCGTGCGCTCACCGGCCCGTTCAGCATTTATCTTCCGAGCACCGTTCTAACCAGCCGAGAATCGTACGATTCCCGGCTGGTTTTCGAACATGCTGGTTCGACAGAAGACGTGCGACCGTACAGTAGAAACGGTCGCACGTCTCCGTTCACACTGCTCGATTATCGTACGAAAACCCGATCGCATACGATTATCGTACGATAATCGTGCAGTGTATGGGCACCTTAACACTGTGTCATATACAAATCCTTTGCATTGCAATCAACAGAGCTAGCAAGTGCAGCCCAGTGCTAGTTGGTTTGAGACAGCCTTTTCCGCAGCCTTAACACTGTCATTAACCTCTTGCCACCACCTCCCGGTGGCCCTTTTAGAGGATCTTATTGCTGGGAGTTGGAGGCTGGCTTCCAAATCATGTAAATTGGCTGTCAAAGTGGTCACATGATCAGGAGCTCATCCCACCAGCTCCTAATCATTAACAGTGGTCAGTAGCTGTCAGTGACTGCTCAGTCACTGTGTCGTGAGCACGCTCTCGGCACAGAACAGCGTTCCGGCTGATGCATTTATGCAGGCCAACCCATCTTCCGCCTTACCATCATTCTCACATAACAAGCCATTCAGTAAGCACCACAACTAACCTGTGTCCCCTATTAGCAACTAAACACTGCAATGTGTTAACGTTGTCGTATACAAGGTATTAGGCATTGCAGCTATAACCCATGCTACATGTTATAGTGTGTGAGTTGGTGTGAGGGGTCTGGTTTTATGCTGTTGTATCGATTTCAATAGTATAATTCTGTCACTGGCTTGCACTGCAGTTACATTGATTTCTTCCTATTAAAGAAAAGCCATGTATCATACATTTTCCTTCCTTAAGCTCATCTGAATTTTACTTTTTTCCCTTTTGTCGTAATACAGTTCATCATGGACCTCACCTTTACCCAGGCAGCTAAGGGTGTCAACAAGGAGATGACTATTAACATCACAGACACGTGTCCGAGGTGCAATGGCAAAGGAAATGAGCCTGGCACGAAAGTTCAGCATTGCCACTATTGCAATGGCACCGGCATGGTAGGAGCAGCAGACTGCAGCTTCTTTGGTTATATGACCTCATTGGAACCGTTGTAGGGAAACTAATTTTTTGGGAACATTTTTTATGTTTTGTTTTTTTGGTTAAACTTTTCAAAGGATTCTCCAAGCATTATGGGTTAGCAAAAGAGACAGCACAGCAGATATTGCCTGCTTTGAGGCATAGTTTGTCTGATTGAAACTTCAGATTGAAACTGGAGATACGGTATCATTCACTTGTGCAAGTTTCTGCGTAGGCTATTGCATTCAGTTACTAGGCTTTCTAGATCAAAGAAACCATAGAAAAGGAATCTGAAGCTCCACCTGCTGACTCAAAAGGAGAATGCAAGATGTTAATAAGCAATATTTCTTATTTATCTGACTTAAAGGAGAACTATGGGGTCAGTGTTTTTCCCCATAGTTCTCAAGGTAACGGGAGGACACAAACTAGCGTCCTCCCGTTACCCTAAGCTCAGTATACCGCGAGCTACAGCTCGCGGTATACTGAGACGCCGCACCTGGAGCGGATCCCGACGTAGATGACGGGATCCGCCCAGCTGCGTGAGTGACAGCTGGCTCTGCCTACCTAGAGGCAGAGCCAGCTGTACCCGCCCCCTCCCCCGTCCGTTCCGCCAGTCAGCGCTGGCAGATCTGAGCGGGGAGAGGGGAATCCAGCCCCTCCCCCTGTCACGGCAGAGGGCTGTGACAGGATCGAGAGGTGAGGGAACCCGGTATGTGTTCTCCCACCTCCCGATCTACTGAGCCGACCTGTGACAGTCTCATTGTCACAGGTCGGCTAGAACTATGAGGTGAGTGGAAATCACTCATCTCATAGTTCTCCTTTAAAAAAAAAAAGAAAATTGTTTTTATGTTTTACACCTTTAGCTGCTAGACATTAATTATATTTACAAGATTGTGTGTTTTTTGTAGGAGACGATTAATACTGGCCCCTTTGTCATGAGATCGACATGTCGGCGATGTGGCGGAAGGGGGACCACAATGACAAATCCTTGCCTATCCTGTCGGGGTAGCGGAGAGACCAAACAGAAGAAGACGGTGACTGTGCCAGTGCCTGCGGGTTAGTGCTTAAGTAAAAGGGGTCTGTCAGAAAGCAGCATGATAGTGTGAGAAAACACAGATGGAAGCAGCTATTCTCTGGGCTGAACCGTTGTATTAGGATGCTGTTACTCGCAGTCAGGCGGCAACGTTTAGGATCGCTTACACATACACTTGTTTTGGTCTTGTAGGGCATCATTAGTACAGTATATGATAACTAGGAATGCACCGATGCCGAGTATTTGGGCGAGTACTCGTAATTGCCCAAATGCTCTGATGCCTAGACCCGATACTTCCGGTATCAGGAAGCTGGGCAGCACGTCATTACACGCTGCCCGGCTTCCTGATTGCCCAGTAAGCCGGCTCCATGCTCCCTCGTCATATAGTGACGAGAAGCATGGGGACAGCTTCCCTGCTAATCAGGAAGCCAGGTGGCGAGTCATTACACGGCACCTGGCATCCTTAATGGGAAAAAATTATCAGTACTCGATACCGAAATACCGATATCGGTGCATCCCTAATGATAACCATGGCTAATGTGTGGTGGGGCTTCCTCACTTAAAGGAACCAAAACTGCCTGCACTATACCAATGGCTTTATGACATCAGGATGTAGCTGTGCTATAAACCAGTGGTTCTGGATGAACAATTGTCCCAAGTGCAAAAAGTTTAATTGCATGGCTCCGCCTGCTATCCTAAAACGAGGAATCAACTCATTATTCAAGCCACGAAAGTGAGATATGCAGATACCTTGTCGGAATTTACTAAGACTGGAGCAGACAGAATCTGGAGTTGCTGTGCATCATAACCAATCAGCTTCTCTCTTCAGCTTGCTCAATTAACCTTTAAAAATGACAGCTGATTGGTTACTATGCATAACTGCTCCAGATTTTGTATGCCCTAGTCTTAGTAAATTCCCATTTTAGCTGTGTGTTCCCAGTATATATAGTCTTTATTCTTGCTTCCTGCCAGGTGTGGAGGACGGACAGACTGTTCGAATGCCAGTGGGGAAGAAAGAAATTTTCATCACATTTCGGGTAGGTGCATTGAATGGTATCCAGTCTGTTTTTTGAAGTGTAGGGATTTTTTATTATCATGGGTTTGGTTGCAAGCAGAAAAATGCCTGTCGCTAGAAAAAGAACATGAGCTGCTTTTTGGTAGATTACAGCACTTTTTTGGTCCCATTGTCTTCAATGGAAAACTTTGTGCGACAAAACGTTCAGGTGTGAACAGGGGCCATAGAAATGAATTGGATTCCTTGTCTTGAGCGTTTTGTCACGCTTAGCTTTGAGCTACAAAGCATCTAGGTGTGAACGGAGCTTTAGTGTTTATTCTGAATGGCTGCCCCAATGCATCTTCCGACGGATGTGCGTTGCAGCACAATACACTATTGTGCATTATGGTGCACCGTCAAAAAATGCTGCATGCCCTGCAATGCATGTTCGTCGGCAAGGTGTATTAGGATGCCATTCAAATGAAAGGCACCGCACCGACGCAGTTAACGTGCAACTGTGAGCCGGTGTTTGCTTTAAACAGCCAGTTACAGCAGATTAAGTGCATATTTAAAACTGAACTCCACATGTACATGTCATTTCAGCTGCCTTTTTTTTTTTTTTTTTCCAATCTGCTGTTTTTTATTTTTATTCTTGCTTGTGTTTACTCCAAGTGTAACCTGTGCTTTCTCATCATATACATCATATGTTTCTCATCATATGTTTAGTTTAAATCTGCAAGGTTTGCTTACTTTAAAGGGCTTTCACAGATGCATCTCGTAAGCTGCCATAAACGCCTGTGCGCATCAGACAGGCCTTTTACAGGGCAGCCTTACGCAGTACCATGGTCCTTCCCCTGCATTTGCGGAAGCCGGCTGTTCCTGTAGGCGCTGCTGATCTTGAAGCAGGAGGGAGCATTTTGTGCAGAATCCTTGCTTATGCCGGTGTTGTATCTTGACACAGCACTGGTAATTAGGCAGAATAAGTGCCTGCACGGCTCCCCTCTATGGAGGGCATCTGAACATTTAATACCTTACCTAATGTTAAATCTGGCCTTGATATAAAAACAGCATAAATGCTTATTTTTAAATTCTCCTTGGTTCAGGGTTATAGGGTGGTGCTTAGGGACAGTGCAGGTTATATTTCTATAAAGGTGGCCTAACCCTATAGGTTTGTATTGCTATCAATGTGTCTCTGCCTTGCTCTATAAGAGAATGTCTGTCTTATCCTGGGCCTTTAGTGTCACCTGGTTTTTGGTCGGCAAGGGCAGTAGTTCACACTGCACTTCTCTTGGCTTGCACAATCTTGCATCAGACTAGATTGATTTGCTTTGTTGAGCAATACAGTGTACCAAGTCCATCGAATGGATATTTGGTACCAGTTTTTGAACTGAAATGGAAAAGTACCTCGCTAACATTCATAGTAAAGAATTAGGCTATTCTCCAAAAACATGGCAATTGCAGATAAACACCGAAATTCAGTGAGCTGCTTACTTCATGTTTCAACTGACATTGCCTTTGCTGCATTGAAATCCCAGCCCTGTTGTGTTCTCTCTTGTGGATTACAGAACACCGCACCCTCTAGTTTTAAGGGGGTTGTTCTGCAGTCCAGAAGGAAGAATTTGGGTAGGGCTTACAGCACTGCTTAGACGTTTGGAGTTCATTACTCATTTACACTTTGCCCAGACATACACTCTAAGCAACATTATGTTGAGAAGAAGAATTGGATCTATGGATATATATATCTGACATTGTATTGTCAGCTTGTGGCCTTAGGTGGTAGCACATTTTGCTGTATTCCCTCCTCATGAGTTGAAGTAAACAGCTGATTATGGATATTGCAACATGTAGTACAGTGCCATGCCTATGGGAATAAAGAACAGCTGCTTAGATAAGCAACTCATAAACAACACAATAAATTCTAATACGATGGTGGTTAACCTGTTGCCACAAGCCATATGCATATTTGTGCTGCCAAATGTATGCATACATTTAGAACCACTGCCTATACATGTCGCTCCCAATCAGTGTTTACAACTGGGAACTAGTAGGACAGGCTCACATGACCACTGTCATAGCCAATCGCAGTGACTTCATGATCCAGAGCCAGCCTGTCAGCCTCTGGTATATAGAACCCCTTAAAGGGCTGGCGGTAAGTGGTTAACCAAAAATGAACAGTACACCTGGGTTCCTATGGAGTCCCAACCAGTGTCAGAGCCCTCCTGCTAATAAACACTGTGATATTTAATTGTTAAATGGCACAGGAGAGAAGGGCTTAGTACAGACCTGAGCAAGAACTATGTGTAGCATGAGCATTTGCAAGGACACCACATCCACAAAGGAATTTGTGTTAAAAACTAACACAGGTACTTACAGGCAGCACAAGGTACAGACATGGTATAGGCTTTGACAGGTCCACTTTAGTTTTAAAATGAACTGTAGAGTGTAGCTAGAAGAATTGGCCTAGGCTGCAAGAAAAGATCATTTGCATGAGTTGGAGATAAAAAAAAAATGTTGTAAACCTTCTTCTGTAAATTGGTGAGACCGTAACATTTTATCACCAGATTATAATTCCTATGTCTTCCAAATGGGGCAATTCACCATTAATATGTTTTATTGTTACAGGTGCAGAAAAGTCCGATCTTCCGACGTGATGGAGCAGACATCCACTCAGACCTGTTAATTTCAATCGCTCAAGCTGTCCTGGGAGGCACTTCCAGGACACAAGGCCTTTATGAACCCATCAGTGTTGTTGTAAGTTTTTCTCATATAACACATGTCCTTTTTCCAGCTGTTAGTATTAAATGTTGTGTTGCATTGCAAATTGTTTCTTCATTTGAAATCTGCTATACATGTATAGTTTGTGATTATCATTTGTCTGTTCTCAGATCCCACCTGGTACGCAACCAGATCAGCGAATTAGAATCAGCGGCAAAGGCATACCGAGAATGAACAGTTACGGCTTTGGAGATCACTACATTCACATCAAGCTAAAGATTCCAAGGTCAGTGGGCCAGGGATGTGGCTATAACCATCTTGAAGCGGAACTGGTCTGCATTGTGGCAGGTGGGGCTTTGATATAATGTGCGAGTATGGACAGCATACTCGTCCATCATGGCACACTTACCTGTCAAAGTGCCCTCCTTCAGCGATGCATTGGCATTCATCGCATTGCTCTGTCACCAGTATTCTTCTGAGCTTAGCATTTTTGGTCATCTTAATTGGCCAGCCTTTGATGACATAACTCCTGTGTGCTTCTTCTCTGCAACAATTATATTCCAAGACTGTACTATAAGGTGTATATTCACAGCCCAGTGTAAAATTGCTAGCAGGTAAAGCAGATGCTATGAAAAGCCTTCCAGATCACAAAAGCAATTTGCAAGGTCTGCCTGTTTTGGCGATAACCAGAGGTTTTAGGCAGAGGCCTCCACAGGGAAGTGTGTTTACATCTTCCTCCAGTTGCAGCTCCCGGCCATCACTAGTGCAACCTTTCTCAACCAGGGAGCCGTGGAACCCCAGGATGCCTCCTAGCTTCCTCAGGGTGCAACAGAATTTTTGCACAGAGGCACTTGGACTCAGGACTCTGATGTGAAGGGGGAACTGTGATGTGAAGGAGGGGCTTTTGATGTAACGGGGGTCCTGGTGTGAAAGGAGGGAGCTCCTGATGTGAAGGGGGTCTCTGATGTAAAGGGGGCTCATCATGTAAAAGAGTGGCCTTCTAATGTAAAAGGAGGGGACTTTGATGTGAAGGGGAACCCTACTTTGTGTGTTTGCATGGGGTCTTCCCTTAAAACCAATACCGGACCCATATCTCAGATAAGGGTCAGGTATGGATTTTTAAAGCGCACACATTTTTTTTCCTACATGTTTACCTTTACATTTTAGACTAGGGTCCCTTGAGATTTTATACATTTAGAGGGTGCCATGACTGAGAAAAGCTGCACTAGAGGGAGCTGAAATAATGACTAGAGATGGATTTTATATTATATATTGCAGGGGTAGGCAAACTCCAGCCCTCCCATTATATCGGGGGTAGGCAAACTCTGACCCTTTTTAGCTGTGGTTCAACTACGAATCCTATAAGGCATTGCAAGACTCTGAATCCCAGGGGCAGTTGCATGATGGGATTTGCCGTTTCATCACAGCTGAAGGGCCGGAGTTTGCCTACCCCTGATATAATGGGATCAACGAACAGTTTATCTCTCGCCTTCTGTTCAGCTCCCTCCTAGGTGGTGATCAGAAATAGCATCTACAGGAGGAGAAGTAACACCAAACTTGCAAATACCTTAAAACTATAACAACTGATAAAAGCTTGCCTTTATTTGCTGATTGTAATAACATTTGTTTCCTGTCCCACAGAAATCTGTCAGACAAACAGCGGACGCTAATGGTGAGCTTCGCAGAGGAGGAAACAGACGTGGAAGGCACAGTAAATGGCATAACCAACACAACAGCAGGTAAAGCTATGCGAGTCTTGAGGATGCACGGAATATCAAGTACAGATAAAATGTTTGAAAAGTAAAGATGGTCATACATTTTTAAAAACTGGGCATTAGAATGGGTGCGTTTCTGTTATGAAGGCTTTTAGTTTTCCATATGACCTTCACAAAAAAGAATAAAAGCTGCTTACAGGTATGAAGGACAGGCAGGGGCTTGCAGATTTCTGTAGCTGATTTTAGGGCTACCACTTTGTTCAAATGAATGGAAGTGTTTTTCAAGAATAACTGACACTTTCTGGTAGTGTTGAAGCGTGCCAGATACCTCCTTGTCCCCAAACATTCCTATTAATTGGTCAATTTAATGAGCTTTATCACTGGACAAAATGAATGTGTTGGAGGAGGAAGAGGGCACACTAGCTTCAGCACTAACAGAACTAAAGCGTTACACAGTCACATTTGGACCGAATGGGGGTACTGACATCTCTAGGTGCCGGTACACTATACCTGCTAGTAACTTCCTTTTCTGTTGTCACTTTGTTAGGAAAGAGTCAGCACTGGCTGGCCCCTAGCAACCAGATAATTTTTTCCGATTTCTAAATGTGCATTAGAAAAATGTGGAATCTGGTCTCTGGGCCTCAAAACAATTTTGAATACTGCAAAGCCATCAAGCGACAAGACATTCAATCTGTCCTTTCTGCAGTACAGATTTAAATCAGGTTTATGCCTATAGTTCAACAGAGACCATTCTTATATTAGTATAGGAGTGCTAGTTTGCATTGACTTGCATTAATCTGGGCTGATACCTCTTCTACTCTTTCTGCTCACTAGGCAGTACCGGGCAGAGCGCTGCAGCTGGGAATGAGAGTCCTGAGGCTGAACAGGCAGGGGAAAACAAGGAGGGATTCCTAAGCAAACTAAAGAAAATGTTTAGTTCATGACGGTAGGAGCACCCTATTATTATTTCTTCCTTTTATTATTTACACCCTATTTAAATTTGCTCCCCATAATAGTTTAATGCACTTGCTCTGAATCATCAAAGTTTGGGAAAACCCTTCTAGGTTACAATACAAATGTCTGTAATATTTGCTCCTGGTTTTTTCAATGCCTGGCCTCTTCTCAGTGGTGCTCTTTCTTACCAGCTGCAGCTTCCACCAGTGCCCATTTGTATATGCCCATAAAATCTTTTTGAGATATTTGTGCGATTTATCATGTCATTTGCTCCTGAGGATACCATCTTCATCTGTAGGCTGCCATTGCCCAACGCCTGAAACTTGGGCAGGCACTAAAGTGAGACAACCTCCAACTCTTGTTATGTCAGCTGTGGTGCGTAAAGCCCCACTCCAGGAAGCTGGTAAATGTACCAATGCAGTGGGGTCCTCCCTCACTGCATGGGTTAAATGCTCGTTTGGCTATGAGTGGGGGATTGGTTGAAATGGTTACCTTATTCCTCACAACCACAGTCTTGCTTTGTGGCAAGTCCCCTGAATCCATTTCACTTCCCAGCCCGGCCAGCCACAGGTCACCATGTATAATACAGAAACAGCAGTACAATGCAGGATTGTATGTGAGAGCCGGCCTGCATTCTGTAGCATCAAACAGCGGAGCAGAGCGCTGGCTGTTGAGGGGAAAAAGCCAAACAAGCATTTAAACCATGCAGCATGGGAGGGACCTCACTGCATGGTTAAATTTACCAGCAGACCGTAGTTGGGCATTAAAGGCTTATCTGACAGGTTCTCTTAAATGGTTTAGGTGCCCTTTTGAAGGAAAATTTGTCAGCCATTTTTAAATTGTAGAAGTCATGTCCAAGAGCAGGCATCACAAGGTACTGCCTTTGTTAGCCAGGAAATGCTCTCACCGGTGCACTTTCTTCATTGTTGTGATAAAAGATATTTGCAATTGCCTACAAATTATTAATGGCCGGCATTAACATGATATTCCTTGCTGCTTACAATTGTGAAAGGAAACCAGGTCAGAGGAAATATAGAGGCTTGCATTGCTGTCCTCTCTCTGAAGATACTGGTTCTCTGGCTCTCTCTGGACTCGATACTTTTGAGCCATGACCTTTGGCAGATTCACACTTTTCTGTGATAGCCAGGCTTGAGGGTTTCAAGCGCTGGCAATCTTGTGGAATCTGTTAGTTACATGACTTGTATTTTGGTAACCTAATTTATCAATATTTACAGCTGAGGCATGCCGTTCAGGATCAATATACATTTTCCCCATTGACTTTACTAAGATACCCCTTTTGAAAGCTCTAGTCTGTTCCTCTACTAATAAACAAAACCATGATCTAAATACTCAGTGACTCTGAATTCAAGACGGTATGAAGCAGTTACAAAAAGAAAGTCCAGTGATGGTAGCCTATGCAAGTTCCTAATACAGGTTCCTTTAATGAGACCCTATATGTAAGTGTTTAATCAAGCCACCATACCTGTAATAGAAGACGGTACATACTCTGCTCTTGTGCTGCCAGTGTTGCCAAACTTTGCTCTGATGCTGACACGTTTTTTGCCAAAGTTCACATTGAAACCGACACTTCTGGAAGTGTCTGTATGGTCCCCCGCAGTTCTCACTGGCTCCTTCTGCTGACCTCCATGTCGGCACTGTATTCAGTAATGGGTGGAGGTCAGATAGGGGAATCGGAGGATGACCACAAAGATACACTTTTGGTTTCCCTTCATAAGATTTCTTAGCAAAGGAGCAGTGCTTGGTCGCATGGGCGGCAGCAATGGCAGGTATGTACTGTCTTATTTTACCGTTCTGGTTCTTTTTTTTCCCCCAGATGTTTTCTCAGTATTTTCGGCTTTTACTAATATTCAGACTAAATCCTCTCTATTTTGTCTGTGTGCTGCAGGAAAGAGATCAACAGGAAACTAGGAGGAAAAGAAAAGTGTGGACTCTACTTATTATGGAGACATGTCACTATGTAAAGATGCCGACAACCTCTGCCCTGAATGGTCCCCATCAGAATACTGACAATCCATAGCACCGTGCCAGACTGTACATGAAGGAGACTTCCCGGGACCGGCCAAGCTTTTTTTTTCTTGAAATATTTCAGTTGAAATTCTATATAGTGCAATTCATTCGTCACTTGAACTGTAAGAATTGTTACCCAGTTAAATACATGGAAGTTTGTCCCTGTTTCAGAAGCTTTCTACACTCAAATATATATTTTACTGACATAAGTCTAGGCTGTGAATGATCTCATGGAGGGCTAACTTGTTGGCACAGCCAATGGTACATAAAATAAGCAATTTTGAAGGTATGAAGTTTGCACAGGTACCTTAGCTTATAAATGTTTTATGTGTTCTAGAGCAGTGTTTCCCAACTCCAGTCCTTGGAAACCTCCAGCAGTTCATGATCTACACACTAGGATGATAGGTGAACGCGGGCTTCATTTGTCGGTGTCTAATGGGAAAACTGCCTGTCTGTGTTGCCCCTAGCAGCCAATCCGATCTTTTCTATTAATATCCCTGAACAGTACTGAAGGGAAGACTGTGATTTCAGTGTTTCAGTAGACCCTTTGCTTTTCATCTGGACATCAAGAATGTGATATATCACATGTTCCATATTAATTATTACCTTTTGGTTCTAGGAGGAGGAGTGAAAAAAATAAAAATTGCTCAGGCACACCAAATGACTACTGGGAGCTATTGATGTATGATTATTATGTATGTTTAAAGCTCCAAGATGCATGGTATGTAAGAAATGCATCAATCATTATAGATTAATAAACAGGGAAGCCTTCACTTTAATCTGTCTTGCACTATATTGGATGTAGAGCAGCAGTCCTTGTATCAGTGGCTCTTCCTGATGAATGGTCCTGCTGAACATGCATTTAAAGGTGACCTACCTATCATAGCTGCCGGTGGTGCTCGACATCTGGAAAGGTGCCAATTCCCAAGGCCGTTCAGATTCAAAGTATTTATATTAGGGATGCACCAATATATCGTCCGAAAAGGGCACTTTTGGCATAATGCAGGAAGTGCCATTTTCTGGCCAATACAGCGGTGCATCCATCCTATTCTCTCCTCCCCGCTAGCCGCTGCTCTGTGTCCCCCAGCGGTGAGGAGAGAAACTGTCACAGGCGGCCGAGCGCTGCGGGAGGAGATCACTGTGAGCAGCCGCTGTCTCTCCTCCCCGTACCACTCCTGTCACAGATGGCCAGAAAGATGTATGTGGCGGAGACAACCAGCGCTGTCACAGCAGGCTGAGCTCTGCTCGCTCAGCCTCCTGTGACACCTGTCAGGATGGAGATCGGGTACAAACACTCACTGATCGCTTTGTAAATAATTGAGGACAGGGTTTGGTTACTATATCCTTAATTATGAATGAATGGGAAGTGATCTACATCGCCTGTTCATTCATGATTGTAGTTATAGTAAACATCCTCTGTTCTCATGTTATGAATGAACAGGAACACTCAGCATAGAGGATTCCTGTTCATTGATAACAGGGGCTGCAGGACTCTGTGTTCTCAATCTCTTTTTCTATCTTAAAAGGGAAATATCAGGGATCTGTTTAGACCCCTAATATTTCCCTGAAGCCCCTAAAAGTAAGGTAAAACTTACAAATATTTAATAAAAAATGAATAAAAAAATTCAAAAGTTTCTAAAAGATACATTTAAAAAAACTATTAAAATTTTTTTGAAAAAGTTAAAATAAAAAACATTTTCGTTTTTGGCCTGACATTTTTTTTCGGTTTTGACATTTTCTAATTCATGTATTTATAATTTTTCTAATTTATATTATATAAGTTATACTAACCTGATGCTCCGAGCCGGCTTGTTCTTAAACTGGTCCCTAAAGCTTCTCTCCCCCTCCAGCAATCTAAAGATCCTGAACTCATCACGTCTATACACTGTGTATAGCTGTGAGGATGCTGAGGAAGATTTCAATGCTGCAGTGGAGGTGGAGATGGGCAGGAGGGAGTGCTCTGACAGCTGGCCGGCTTGGAGCTTCGGGTGAGTATATCTTTGTTAGATTTATACCTAGACAATTGATGAGCACTTCACCTTTGCAGTGCAAGGGGTAAGCCCCACCGCAAGAATTAAGAGAGAGTATCCCTAGCGTTCTTTAATGGTGCCTCCATATACCTGGCCATAAATATCTGCTGACTTTGACAGTCATCATTGCAGGGGGTTCATGCATATAGGCAACTCTGTGACGATCAGGTCTGCTGGCAGCTAAGTGGAGGACCTGTTTAGGAAACACTGTTGCAGAACAAGGATGCAGACATTAAAGTATATAGAAACCCAATCACTAAAATGCCATGGAGCCTTTAACATGGTGTTGTAACTTCAAAAATACTTCATCATTTTTACAACACCCTTGTTAAGTCAATTCTGATGGGTGACAACAGTCTCCCACTTTTGCTCCTGTGTTACCCTGTCACATGCACGCATGTTGCGGAGGCATGGGCCGCCAATGTTATCCAGAAACCAGATCAGAGAAATGTGCAGCTCCAGTGAGTGCATGTAGACAGGAAGTGATTGTAAAAAAGGGTGAAAAGAAGTGTTTTATTAAGTAAAAAAGACACTTGTTTGATGCACAGAGCACACTGTGTACATTGAGCTGCATTTTTCTGCACAACACCGCACATGTATGACGTCAATAGGGCACATGGGAAACTATTATTTTGTTATTTTTTATGTTCCCTGTTTAGTGCAGAAAAATGCAGCTCAATGGACAGAGTTAGGGTTTACAGCTACTTAAAAGGGATCCGCCCCTTGCCTAATCAGTATATTGAAAACGCAAGCTGCAAATATTTTGTTCCGCTATTTGATATTCATGTTTGTAATTTAAAGAAGCGCGCCAGGCAATATTTTTATTAACCCTTGCAGTGGGGCTACCCCTGCATTGTAAGGGTTAAGGGCTCGTTTTGGTCTAGGGAGTAAAAGAACCAAGTTATACTCACCTGATCTGCTGAGGTAGCCGGCTGTGACGGCGCTCCCTCCTGCCTGTCTCCTCCTCCAATGTAGCGATGGTGTGTCACTCAGCGTCCTATACACTGTGTATAGAACGTGATGACTGAGGAACCTTAAGGCCGTGACACACTGCACGCGAAGCAGCGCGGAGCGGTGGCGCGCTGCCTTTGCGAGCAGTGTGTCATGTAATTTTCTGCTCGGCAGCTCAGCTTGCGAGAGCTCGCGGAGCTGAGCGTACCGAGATGAACAATTTCAACTTCAGCCAATCGGCTCGCGCGTATAAACCGGCGCGACGGGATGCGACGTCTGGCCGGTTGTTACAGACGAGCCGATTGGCTGAAGGTGCAGTCAAAGCCTGTCTCCTCCTCCAATGTAGCGATGGTGTGTCACTCAGCGTCCTATACACTGTGTATAGAACGTGATGACTGAGGAACCTTAAGGCCGTGACACACTGCACGCGAAGCAGCGCGGAGCGGTGGCGCGCTGCCTTTGCGAGCAGTGTGTCATGTAATTTTCTGCTCGGCAGCTCAGCTTGCGAGAGCTCGCGGAGCTGAGCGTACCGAGATGAACAATTTCAACTTCAGCCAATCGGCTCGCGCGTATAAACCGGCGCGACGGGATGCGACGTCTGGCCGGTTGTTACAGACGAGCCGATTGGCTGAAGGTGCAGTCAATCATCTGACTGCACTCAGCTCACACACTGCACGCGATGCTCTGTGCCGGAGAGCTTTGCTTCGCTCTGCACGGCTTCGCATGCAGTGTGTCACAGCCTTTAGACTGCTGCAGCGAAGGGAGAAAAGCTCCAGGGACCAATCTAATAACTTTATTTTTGAACTTAGACAAAAACGAGCACGTGACCCTTACATGCAGGGGTAGCCCCACTGCAAGAGTTGATAAAGATGTTGCCCGCAGTCCTTCTTTGAGTGATAGGGAAGCTACGGCTGTGAAGATTCTAATGTGAATGTCTGATGGAAAATTATATTTTAGCGCTCAATTCACAAAGCTAACTCAAGGTTAAAGATCTTTTCCATTCTCCAACGAGTCCAATGAGATGTGAGAATGACAGTCACATGGTTGAAAATAAAGATCCTTAGCCTTGCGGTAAAGCTTTGTGACTTGAGCCTGTTGCATGTTCCATGTTTTTGTTTTAAGCCTGTGGTCAGTGATATAACCTTCTAAAAACATGTCTTACGCTACTCGGCACCAACTCTCTTCCAGTTTTATGATTTGTAAAGATCTGAAGAACAGACGTTGGTTTCATATGACTAAATAAAAATGTCCTTTGCAGAGGATTATGGGTAAAGCTACTTCATGGCATTCTTGCACAGTTTAGGAAATGGCGCCATTTGTTGCATTCATTGTCCGGGAATATTGTCATTGTCTGCTCATATGAAGGTCATTTTGCTGCTGATTTTGATTTACAAATCCTATAAAATATTTCTTGCTTAGTTTCCCGTGTGATTGTTTTTGTTTTTCTATAGCCCGCCATCCTTCAAAATGGGATTTGCTGTTTTATTGACAGCAGAAATATCCCGCATTTAGGCTGAGTTCACACCTAGGCGTATCGAATATATGCTCGTTTGTGATTCGCGGTAAAAAAAAACGCGCGACAAATGCGCGTTTCCGAGGGCTACCTGGCTGTATCCCAATTGATACGTCCATTGGGATACAGCCCCAAAGAAGCTCCTGTACTTCTTTGGGCGTAGGGCGTTTTGCAGCACGTTCCTACGCGCTGTAAACCGCCCAGGTGGGAACCATACCCTTAGGCAATCATTGGTTTTCACATGGTGAGCGTTTTACAGAGCGTAGGAACGTGCTGTAAAACGCCCAGGTGTGAACCAGGCCTAAAAACTAAAAGACGTGGATGACTGTAGAGTTAAAGAGAACTCGTATTCTAATCACTATAAATATATAGATTTATTTTATTTCAGAGTCTCTACATTAAAATGTGCT